TTTTTCTTTGTCTCACACTTATGTCGTGGTTTTTATTTTCTTTTGTTGTTCAGGCCAAAGCCAGCGGAAAAAAGCTCCAGAAAGTCACATTAACAGTCTCCCCTCGTGGAATCATCCTTTACGACAGTGCCTCCAACCAGCTAATAGAAAACATTTCCATTTACAGGTCAGTTCTTCTCCTCATGTCATGTCCTGAGTTAATCATTCAACGGGGCGGCTCCAGTTATTGCATATTTTCTGACTTCATCATTCGATTAAAACAAAAGTTTTCATCGCATGCTTCTAGTTCCCCATCATTGGATTGTTGTGTGGGGTCAAGAGGTGTGAGGCGCCAGGGTTTTTGTGTGTCTGTCAGCAGTGTGCCTCGCTCTCGCCAGGAAGCAGCACAACAACTGTATGTCTGAGCTTTCATGCAGGTGTGACTGACATGCATGCGTTCTGTCACACCCAAGTGACACAGACATTCCTCCAATTGCCATAGAAATCTTTTGCCTGCCTCAGCCTGCAAACTTAGAGTTGCCCTCAGTTGGCCTCGAGCTAAAGGATCATGCTCAAATGACTACCAAGTTCCATTTTAATGAGTCTGCATAAGGAGAGTTAATCTGGAGTCTTTATTGGAAGGCATTTCGACGTGATTTTTCAGTTTTGAATTTTCTCCACAAACTGTGTTCATTATTTTTCATAAATTTAAGAAATCTGTTCAATTCCTTGAATGACCGTTACTTTTGTTACACCTGCGCAATGAAATTGTGGCCATTGAATTGCATTCCACAATTTTCTACCATTAAATAATACATGGTTTCACCATGATTGTAGTATCAACATGGCACTGCATCACAAATAGGTGTTTGTGCCTGACAAACTATGACAAGTGCTTTGCAGTACACCAGCAATATATCTCTGGTATTGTCAGTCAAAACTGACCATTGGTATCTCCCGAGCAAAACCTTCATTGGTTTGTCTCAATGTTACGGCTGGTTCGCTGCGTTTACGCTGCATGGTTGAAACAACGATTCATATATTTAGCTCTCAAGTGGCACAATTCAAATTCAATTTTACAGCAACTGGATATACTCTTGAAGAGACAGGTTTAATATACCGTTAGGAATTTGTCAGTCATTAAATAAGAACAATTATTAACAACAGTGGGCCAATTATGCTTTGTTTCATTTCATTTTGCTTAAATCAAGGAAGAAGTGGTGTGGGGTGGCAAAGAGTCAGTCCAGACCAGCTAAATGTTAAGTAATGGTTAACATCCAGGGAACTATGTGCTACTTAATCATCTGCACATAAGGTTGTTTCCCGAGCTCTGTTAATATACACACGGTCAATGGATATGTGTCATTTGGAATGTTTGGATTTGGAATTGGGTTGTTGGACCTACAGTATATTGTGAATCAAGCCTAAGTGTAATTGACAGCAAAGCCTTCATTTGTATGTCGCTATGTGGCTGTCAGTGTCAGGCCGTTACTGTCTCAGATTTATACCATCTACTGTATCAATATTAAATCTGATTGATGCACTGTTTGGCATTTTCCAAGTAACATCTCGCACTGAAAAGTATAGTCAAGGCAGAATGAGAAACATGGGCTGAGATTGGATTTATTTTGGTTTATTGAGACTCTACTCTGGGGTCTGAGTATTTGTTAGCAGTTTAAGTGCAATTTTGATTGTCATTTAGTGCAAGTAGTAGTTCTATTCATCATCTTGAACATAGCTATCACTTGACACTGTCAAAACCTTTTGAAATGTATGCAATAATCTCAACAGGATGTGAAGACATAAAGCAGCTTGCCATCTGAGATTTACTGCCTCATTAGTCTCTAGGAACTTGGATGATCAATAAAACAAATTGATTGGACTGTTAGACACGGAATTTCCCAAAGCCCCCATTGCAAACATTTGCCACTAAATCTCATGAGGGCTTGCTCCAATTCTTCCAGCCAACCTAGGCTCCTTTGCTCTTCTAGATTTAAAATTGGAATACTTTTAGCTTCATCTTTATGAATTGTTGTGATAAATTTCTAAACTCTACATTGAGATTCACAGCTCTGACAACTCAAGCGAACCCCCTCCCCCCAAAAATCCAGCATTTGAATAAAGACGCTCTTCTAGCATTTGAAGCGCAAGATTGAAACATTTACAGTAAATTGTGTCACTCTGCTAACATTCTGATCTAGTTAGTGCATCATTGCTTTTCATGGTCCTCAAATTGTCTTGTGTTTTTCAGAATATCCTATTGCACAGCAGATAAGATGCATGACAAAGTGTTTGCCTACATCGTCCAGAGCCAACACAATGAGGCACTCGAGTGTCATGCCTTCCTGTGCACAAAGAGAAAAGTGGTAAGCAGATAAGACCGTGTATGCTTTCAGTGCAAAGCAATTCCAAAGTAGATTCGTGGTAAAAAATTTAGGTAGTATCTAATCACCTTGTCTCTTTGACAAGTTAACATGCAAACATTCAGTCAGAACTGAAGAAAGATGTGGAGGGAGGACAAGAAGGGAGGCTAGGTTGTCATCATTCTCTCATTCCCTAGAGGTTCCCGATCAAGTGAGCCCCACCCTCTTCCTTCCCCTCACTTATGTAGTTCTTGCCAAAATGCTCCTCCCAGCTACCTAAAACAGGTCATGGTGTCTCTATTTTCATGGCAACGGTCACGTTGTTTATGTTCCTTTAGCTCTGTGCCTAAATATCCATACTGCCGATTGAAATGAGTTATTATGTAAGAGTTGTGGTTTTTCTTCCGTTTACTCATTTCCCTTTTTTGTGTGTGTGTGTGTGTGTGTGTGTGTGTGTGTGTGCGCGCGCGCGTGCGCGTGCGCGCGCGCTTCCCCACAACAGGCACAAGCAGTAACCCTGACAGTGGCGCAGGCTTTCAGAGTGGCATTTGAATTCTGGCAGGCGGCCAGGGAAGGTATGCATGGCTTCCTTTCCCAGACTCGAAGCAGTATGACCGATGAGGGGAAATGATTTTCTCATATCCCCCTTCCCTCGGTCTTTTTTTTTTTTTTACAATTTATTGAGGATCGATGTTTTTTGTTGTTGTTGCTTTTAATAATCAGTTTATGTTCACACTGCATTGTATCTTGGTCACATAGAACAATTACTCGGTGAATATAAGAACTTAGAGTATGTTCACTCACTCTCATATGATGTACAGTTCTGCAATCCAATATAAGCGGAACAAAAAAAAAAACCTTGGCTTTACAAATGTAATGATGATGACACAAAGTGTCATTGAAGAGGAACCTTTTTGGTTACTGTGGTTCACACGCCAGACTTGTATGCAGGTAGCATCGGTTCAGTTCCTCGTCGGTGAGCGTGTGAATCTGAATGTAATATCATGTTTGTACAATGGTCTCAATGTTCCTACCGGTGACCAATCCAGGATAGTCTGCTGGGATAGGCTGCAGTTCCCCATGACCTTGAACAGGATAAGCTGTTGTAGAAAATAGATGGATGGAAGAACCTTTTCAGATTTTTGTGATGGACAAGAAACAGCCCATGGATTTTGATCTCCTTTTTTTTTTTCTTTTAACACAGCAAGGACACATTATTTGAGAGATTTCAGGTTTTTTTGGTGTGCTTCTCCATCTCAGACCATCAATTACAGCTTTTTTATTTTTTTAAAACCACATTCTCGGTTGCAGAGGATCATTAACAACTCGACAACAGCTGTAATTGTAGATTCAAATAGTCGACAGCAAGTAGCAAAATGGCCACCCCCTGAGATGGCTAAAAACGAGTGGAATTTGCTGCTTAATTCAAATTCCACAACCGCAATCTTAATAAGAATTCCTTCATAAGACTTGTGTGGCCTCATAGAACATATTATTGTAAAGAACATTTTTGTCTTGACTTCCACTGTAATTATTCAGTGAAAATGTGTGTAAGGATACCAAATTGAATGGAAACAGAATATATGATGACATTGGGAATATTAGTTGATTAGTTGTTGTTCTTGATTGTATTAATTGTACGTACTATGGTAAAAATTAACAGCTGAGGATGCACTGCCTGTTTAATTTAAATGCTGCAATCACGACTGACTGAATTGAATGTTATTTTTGCAGCTCAGTGCCTCACAATTCAAGCAAACTTAATTAGGCTAATCTTATCAGCCAATAGTTGCTGCTTATTTGTTCAAACATTATTGTATGTGTGACTGGTGGAACATTCGATTATTTATTTATCTTTTGCCCAGCCGCTAAATGAGTACACAGTTGTGCAAGGACAATCAGCCCATTGTTACAGTTTTCCTGTGTCGTACTGACCTTTTCTGTGACTGCTCTGTCTCTTTGTCCTCATCCTTTCCACCCCTGTGTTGCCACATATGCAGAAAAGGAGAAGCGAGTGAAGTCGGGTTCAGATGGTGAAGGAGTCAACAGCATCCAGTCAGACAGCTCAGCGAGCCTCGGCAGCCTGAAGGGAGGAGGTCAGTCATGTCACCTAACATCATGCCATCTGCAACAAAAATCAGCCACTTGTCAAATGTTGGCTTCCATTGAGGCCAGAGTTCAGCTGACAGCCTGGGTCTGTCTTTGTCTTTGCATTCATTCGAATGTGCAGAAAATGGCATTAAAGGTGAATGCACATGGTGGTTAAAATGCTTTCTGTTATTTGGAAATACCAGCTATAGTTTGTTGACAAACCACTGGAGTAACTGATGTTTTCTGTGACCTCATTGTTCCCACGGATCCTCCGAAGATTCTCTTCATGCCTTGCGAACAGGACATTATTGACATCTCATTGGGCTTGACGTTCTTTAAGGCATCATTAGCTGTGCCTTTTTTTACCGAGCTGAGATCCGGCACAAAGGCCTGCACACCCATTCACGTGTGCGCATGTGGGCATGTCCTTTCTCTGTCACATTGGGTACATCAAATATTGAATGCTCCCGTTTTCTTTGATCCATTTAATAACGGCGGGGTTGAGCTTGATGTCAGTCCAGGAACATCTGACCTCAGCTTTGTAGATTGCCTTCCAGCCAAATGTCCCCAACCTAGAAAGGGATTTCTGAAATATGACGCTATATTTGGAAGGAGAGGTGACAAATAAACATATGTAAGCCTTTTGGATTTTTGTTTATGGGTAAAAAGGCATTTTGATTCTATACCGGGCCTCTAAGCAGGCAGTGTCATCGTGAAATAGATTCTTGGAAATACAATCGGCCTCATTTGTACATGGTTGAAGCCTCTCTGCTTATCATGGCACAGATTAAGGACAACTCTGCATTGGACCCATCACAAAGTCATATTTATGCCCCCGTCACTCTGCCCGATCACGCGGCAGGCCGCTGACTGACTTGATGAAACTCGGGATCACTGATGCCGCTTTTGCCATGAAATATGATACCGTGGAGGCAACTGAACAACACCTCGGTGTTATCCCTGTGACTCCATCATCAGTACTACCTTTAAAAGGGGAGATTTCTGTGAATACTTTCAATCCTGTGCCAACAGAAAGTAGAGAGAGGTTGATGTGAGCTGCATTCGACAGACACACAAATGTTATCCCCTTTCGATTACAAATGACAGGTCATGGGAAAGTCATCTAAAGAGAAGTTTTGACTTTGACAAGTGACATTGCAACACTGAACATCCGCTTCAGTGGCGTTTTAACTGCGGTCAGTGGACGTCATTCGTTCAAAGAGTGCTCAAATATGAGGGTTGACACATTAATCAGCCAGCAAGTGCATTTCATTACATGTCAGTGCTGCCAATGTGGTATACCGGCCTTAGTCCAAACTCAGTTATCACATAATGCACAGAGTGGAAAAGTGTCCCATTTGTGCTGGTTTTATTTTGCAGAGGGAGCCACTACAAAACTCCTCGACCTGGCGGAAGGAGCCAATGAAACGTTGGTCCACTCAGGAACATTTCAAACAGACTTGAATTCCTTTACGGTGCATAACCATGCAACTGAGAACAACAATACAGTATGGGTAAGACAAGAGTCCCATATTTAATTTACTTACCAGTACTTAGTTTCAGCTACATAGCCTTGGTATGATGGAATAGTATGCAGTAATTTTAATGTCACTGATTAAAGGGAAATTTTGATTGGCTGTAATGTGACTGTACTTGCATAGGGGAGGAGTGTCCTGTTCTGCTGCTACTACAAAGGGAAATGATTCCCAGTGCTTCACTTTTCCCATATTTTATGTTATTCCAAAATGGAATAAATTAGTTTATTTTATTTTTTACGAACAATTGCTAACACAGCAGCCCCACCATGACAACATGGAAAAGGTTTTTCTTTTTTACGATTAGATTTTTGTTAATTAAAAAAAAAAACGATAACATGGAAAAGGTTTTTCTTTTTTCCGATTAGATTTTTGCTAATTTAAAAAAAAAAAAAAAAAAAAAGTGAAATGTTCTTAAGAACAATACATTTTATTTATAAGCGCCTTTCAAAACACTCAAGGACACTTTACAATGCAGAACAAAAACAAGTATTCACAGCATTTGCTAAATACTTTGTCGATGCACATTTGTCAGCGATTACAGCCTCACAATAATGCCACAAGCATTGCACAGCTGTCTTTGGGCACTTTCGCCCATTCCTCTTTGTTGCGCCTCTCAAGCTCCATCAGGTTGAATGGGCAGCGCCAGGACACAGTCATTTTCAGGCCATTCCTCGAGTTGTCCTGTAGCCATGCCCTTGATATTTTTGCCTTGTGCTTCGAGTCGAAGTCCTACAGAAATGTGAACGTTGCCATAGTCTGAAATCAAAAGTGCTCTGTAGCAGGTTTTCCTTCAGGATGCCTCTCTACTTTGCTGCATTCCTCTTTAGTCAGAGGTCGAGTACATACACTAACTTGGTGCTTGACGTGCGCGATGACATGCCTTTCCAAATAATGTCCAATCAATTGAATTTAACAATGATTGGCTCCGATTGAGCTCAATGTTGAGCTTCATTTCAAAGTTTGTGAATACTTAGGTACTTGTGCTTTTCTTTTTTGAGCTGTTTATTTGTAATACATTTGCAAACATTTTCAAACCTTTTGAACATTGTCCTCTAGGGATTGTGTGTGTTGTATTTAATCCATTTTGAATAAGGCTGTTGAAAAACAAAATGTGGGAAAAAAATGAAGCACTGTGAATACTTCTGAGGCACGCTGTAGGCTGAACTGGAGAATTACATATTGGGCTGTTAAATTGTAGGTGCAAGAGGGAAAGATTTTTCACCGCTTCTTATTTTAGGTCAAGATTGGCAATAGGTGTATGTATTTGATTATGCATTCAAGTAACTGTAATATACTTAAACATATAACATTATTCCATTCTATTTTGTCTGAGTAATATTAATGTATGTAGTGATGTGATTTAGAAATTAACATTCTTCTTGTGTTTGTTAGGAGCTTGAGGACGGTCTGGATGAGGCTTTCTCAAGGTAATAAGATTAGTTTTTTCAACCGCCGAAAGCAAAACATTCCCTAAAGGTGTTAAGACATTGGAAATAAGGCACACCCACACTACAGCTATCTGATTCCTGCCAGCAGGCTCATTTTGCAGGGCCCCAATGTGGTAGACACTTTGCCTGGCAAGCTACACCCGCTAAGAAAATGAAAAAAATGAAAGCACGAAATTCGTAACGAACCGTCCAATCAAGTTCGTTTACTTGCTGTGACAAGTCCTTTGTGCTCAACGTCACCCGTGGGTGGCAGAAATCCATCCTCTTTCAAAATGACGCACGGAAGAGATGATAGTTTGTATACCTCATTCAGCATTAAATCACTTTGAAATAACCAGAAACACATGGTCATTAAGGCATTTATTTCAAAAGAAGACTTTCCCCCTCGCCCATGTCTCGTCCACTCTTCGCTGATTGGTTAATGTCGCTGTCTATTTGCTCAAGTTTGCCCCGCCTCAGGAATGCGCTTGATGCTACGACTCACCAGACTCAGCCGCTGGTACAGTGACTGAGTCTGGATTTCCAGGTGATCAGACACTGTCCTCAAAAGATGCTGCTATTCTCGCTCCTCTTACCATCATCTCAGTCCCACGTTTCATACTTGCTATCAAAGACAATTTATATCTCCGTGAGGATAAGTGGATCAGATGATGGATGGATTGATGGGTGATTTGTTTTTAGGCCGAGCCGCATTGCTGAGAGAGTTATATCCCAAACCGAAAAGAAAATGAAGTTGAAATTTAAGTTGGCAGTTGTGGTTGAATAGTTACCTGCATTTAATTTCACCAGCTACAACAGTAGGTACTTCTGAATCCTCTCATGAGAACCAACACAAGAATTGTATCGAGGTTAATCTTTGGGGAAAGATTCTTTTGTCCCTGCCAAAATAACATTACCAAAATACAGTATTACAAGCAGCCCCGACTAACCTACAGCGTGTTTGTTGTCCACTCTGTTACAATGGTAAAAAATAGTTACCAAAAAACAAAAACAAAAAACGCAGAATGTTAGATTCTTTTTTTATTTGGAATTGTATCAGTGTAGGTTTATGTAATGTTGTGGCTGATACGTGGTGCTCATTTTGGTGCTTTGTTTACAGAGAAATTAGGACTGTTTCAGCAACTCTATATTCCTTCTTTTTGATGGTGTGATTACAATGAATGCGAGAAGATCTTATTTTAGATCTTAGTAGTATGTTATTCTCACAGATAAATCCTGAAAGTATTAATTCATCCAATTTCAAACCAACTAAAAACTTGACACTATATCACTCTCAATTGTGACTCGTTTTGCAGCTGAATTGTTTAATTTTGTTTCTTCTCCCACCTAGTGGTAGTTATTCTAACTGCATTTTTAAATTATTTAACTGACTTTACACTGCCTGTCAAAATACCCAATTCCGATTAATATAATTATCTGAATATTTTTTTTTAGTGACTGGTACTTTAAAGGTCAGAGCAGCACAGTGGTTGACATGTCTGCGTCACAGTTCTGAGTTTGTGGGTTTTAAGTCCTGCCATTTTTGTGTGGTATTTCTGTTCTCTCGATGCATAAGTGGGTTTTCTCCGGGTAGTTTAGCGGGTGTTTTTGAATTTTTATACAGAAGCTAGTGCGTCCAGTATATGGTTCAGTTTTTTTCCTTTCATTATGCTGCTGTGATGCTTCTGTGCAAATTGTGCTACTTGGGTCAAAAACTAGAATTGTCACTTGAACCAAGCAGGGCACGAAAAAAAAAATCATGTTTACAGACCTTGTCTGGAAAGTGTTTTGTTTC